CCCCGCCTCTCGCCCCGCCCACCTGAAGTAGGCCAGGATGAGCACGGCCACGGTGAGGGAGGCCAGCGACACCGAGTAGCCCACAGTGTAGATCATGCCCAGGCGGTCAAACACCTCCTGTGCCGGAGGGGACACAGCGTCAGAGCCCTGGCACTCAGGTTAAGGGTCAGAGGCCAGTTAAGGTTGCGGGAGGCGTCAGGCCTCGCTCAGGGGTGACCTTATCCAGATCAGGTTGGGGAGGGGGGAAAGCTCGCACCCGTTCACGCGTCTCATTGGTCAGGAACTTGACACACTCGCTGTAGTTGGCCCATGTCCGGTTGTGCCCAGGTACCAGTTCCCAGCTGCCATTGCGGTCACAGCGTCGGTAGGCGTGGCCTGCAGGGCCACGGGCAGGGTCAGGGCAGGCAGAGAGGTCTGGAGCCCTGAGCTCCCCGTCCTGGCACCCCTGTGGTCCCCACCCTACTCCAGCCTGCCTTACCTTTATGATTGAAGTCATAAATGTAGTCGGGACAGGGCACGGCCACCACCTCACCTGGTGCCCCCAGCGGCCAGCAGAGGATGTGGTCCCACTCGGGCAGGCAGGGGCGCCCTGTGCCCACAGAGACAGACAGACAAGGTGGGGGACACCAGTCAAGTCCATGGTTAGTGACCCAGAAGAATGAACACTCCTGTGGTCGCTGGCTCCCTCAGGGACAGGTGTGCCCCAGGACTGGAGCGCTCAGGCCTGGAGCGGTCTGGAGAGAATGTATCGAGCCTTACTACCTACTGTGTCCTGCACGGCATTGAATCCCTGGCCTCACAGAATTCCCACAGCCCCTGTATGCAGGTACTGGCACTAGCCCTATTTTCTAGATCGGCTGGTGGAGGTCAAGACAGACAAGTGATTTGCCGAGATCCTAGAGCCTAGGGCCCTGCCCTCCTCAGGTACTCAGCCCCTGGCCAGGCCTCTCTCTTTTTCCTCTGCTCTTGGTCCCACCTCCAGGTGTCCCTGGGGAAGGGCAAGTGCCCAGACTAACTCCCTTAGCTCAGAACGCTTTCCATGTGACCCTTGCCCAGGATCCATGGGTAGGAGGCAGGAGGTCTAGCTTCCAGTCCCAGCTGGACTCCCAAAGAGCTGCTGACCTCACGCAGGTGTCCACCCTCTTTGTGTTCCAGTTTCTTCACTGGGTAGCTGGGATTGACCAGATCAGCCTGTGCTTTCACCACCATCCCAGACCACCCTAAGCACCTGCTATGAGACTCCCCTCATAGGAGGAGGTATAATCCCCCAAATCTAAGTGCCAATTGTGCGATTCAAGACAGGGTGACATATCCTACTTTGGGGCTCCAGTCTCACAGCAGAGATACTAAGTGACCTTGGAAGGTCCCCAGCCTCTGAATCTTCTGCTTTCCACCCCCCCAGCTCCCTTCTTTCCCCTGCAGGGCTCCAACCACAGGACTCTCCAGCCATCCTGGAAGGCTGCCTTGATAGCTGGACCCACCCCAGCTTGGTGAAAGGCTCTCTGTCCTGGGCACCATATTCCCAGCCCCGCCTGCCTAGGCCCACAATTCCCTCTGGTCCCTGGGGAGCCACAGGGTGACCACAGCCTCCCAGATGTGGCCCATCTGGAATCTGCTGCCCACCCAGCCGGTTCAAACCGGCCCTGTGGCTGCCGCCTGGGCTCTGAGTTTGTCTCTCCTTACCTTCCTGAGGGACAACACAGCCCTGCATCTCCCTCCCTCTCTTCTCTCCTTCCCTCCTCATCCCACTGTCTCAGCCCTGCTGCTCTGTGGCCACCCTCCTCCCCTGCTCTGTATCTATGGCCCACCACACTACGTGTTTGGGTGCACCCTCCTCAGACACACTGAGTCCCAGTCCCAGTTTATGCCTCGTGGTCCCCTCTGTCTCTCCCTCTCTTTGTATCTCTCCTTGCCCCTCTGTCTCCCAGGTTCTCTGTCATCTCTCTCCGTGGGAGGGGCCACAGCCCTGGGTCCACCCCTGGGGTAGTGCGGGGCAAATTCTCTGCCCAAATCTCCTGGGGGTCTGGCCCCATCCAGCTGCCAGCCTCTTGCACATGATACCTCCTGGGTTCTGTGTCCTCCCAGCCCCTCCCCTGCTTTCCTGGGGAGGGGGCCACAGCCTCTTCCTTTCCACAAGAGCTGAAGAGCATGAGCTCACAGAAAGGGGATAGAGCGGTGGGGTGGGTGGGTCCCTGCCCATCTCGGATGGATGCCCGGAAGCACAGACATACCTCGGTGCCTGCTGCCAGTGGGCGCCTCGTTGTCCTCCTCTGACTCTGGGTAGAGCTTCTCAGATGCCTTCTCTTTCTTAGGCTTCCCTGATGTGGATGCAGATGCCCATCCTTTGTCTGATTCCATTATGTCAGCTGGAGAAATCAGGGCAGTTACGGCTGTCAGCTGTGCTATGGCAGGAGACCCAGGGCACCCTCCTGCCTCCAAGGCACCCTCTTTGTACGGTGGGGGTTAATCCCTGCCCTGCTGAGAGCCCAGGCTGTTGGGAGAGCTGAGATAACAGGCGGGTGCAGAAGTAAGTGGAGAGCACGGAGACTGTCAACAGGAGGTTCAAATGGGAGCGAACAGCATGCAGGTGTGGGATCAACTAGTGGGCTGAGCGGTAAGTGTGGGCAAGACATGGGCAGAGGCAATGTCCTCCGACCCAGGAGTTGGAGTCAGAGCCCGTGCAGGAGGACAGGGCCCCGCCAGGGGGCGCAGGACAGAAGTGGACAAGTAGGGGTGATGTCAGCGCAAAGGCTCAACAGTGAAAATGAAGCCCAGCCAGGGCACGGTGCAGCTCAGGAAGCTGGTGGTGTGGACGACATGAGCAAGAGTGTGCAGGTGGCAAGGGTGTTCAGGCAAGTCTACCTACCCGTCCCCTGCCCTCAGATACTTGAGCTAGGAGTTCCCAGAGTCCACAGAAGGACCCTGGAGGCTCTCTTGAGTTGGGCTGGCCTTTTCTCCATTAGAGAGCTGTTTGAGGTCTCTCTACCTTGCTGAAATGTCTCCCTCATTATATGACTCGTGTCCCTTCAGTTACAGCCCGAGCAGGGCCCCCAGCCCTCCCAGGTCAGGGTTTGTGGCAGCAACGCAAAGCTGAGTGTAGACACCTCGGCTGGGCCGGAACGGCCATGCCTCTTATCCTGCCTGATCCTGGGGCATTAGTAGGGAGGGGGGCAGCAGGACGGGGTGGAGCAGGAAGAGAGGGGCTCCATCAGGATGGGGCATGATGGGGGGCAGAAGGTGCCTCCGGGCTTCCACAACTGGGAAGAGTGCTGGGTTCAAGACCCAGAGTGTGGGGGCCCACCTGACCCCCAGACCCTGATGTGACTGGGGCGGGGAACCAAAGAGCCACCAGCGGGGCCACTGTGGACAGGGCTGGGACTGCAGAGACCGTGTGAGTGCCTGTGACTATGAGCAAAGTCCGTGTGCTACAGAGTTTGTCACCGTATGCCCTTGGGTCCCCAGCAGTCTAGGGGAACCAGCTCCAGACAGGAAGCTGTTCTCCTCGGCCAGTCAGGCAGGGCCTGGGCCTCTTCCTGGTCAATGAGATTTAATCAGACAGGCGGTAGAGGCCTGGATGGGTGCTAATGAGCGCTCACCTCTGCTTCCAGGAAGTGGACTCAAGGAAAAGACCAGCTGGAGATGGGGCAGGAGCTGGAAAGGCAGGGGCTCCTCCCACCTTGACCTTGGCAGGGGTCCCTGAAGATGCTGTGCTGGTGTGCAGAGGCCCTCCCGACCCCAGGTCAAACACCCTCTCCCGGACAGTGACCATGACTCAGAGTCATGATACCCATCCCTACCCCTCTAGCCTTCTCCCCATCCAGTCCCATGGACCCTTGATTCTCCTGACCCTGGACACCTCAGCCTTGTCCTTGGACCAGGTGGCCTTCTTCAAAGATCTACTTATTCTTCTGGACCTGCCTTGGATACCTCCTCCTCCAGGAAGCTGTCCCAAGTGCACCCCAGGGGGGTTTGGCACCCTACTCAGGGCTCCTGATCCTGTTGTGCCTTGCCACATCTAAGCCCGCTGGGGATGATTCGGACTGTGGCTGCCTTCATACTGACCGATCCCACCCTGGGAGGGAAGGCTCTGCATTTCAGCCTGCTGACTTTGATCACACCTCACCCCCCTTTTAACCGGACGCCCCCTCTCCTGGTGCCACTTGGTTCTGCATCCTAGGCTCGCACCTTCATTGGGCCCCTCCCTCCCTCTCTTGACCTCGCCCCCAGGCCCTCCTCCTTTGGCCCCGCCCCACCCGGCTCCGCCCCCACCTGGCCTCTGCAGGACTTCTTTGAGCCGCTTCTGGCATTGGGCCTGGGCGCGGTGCAGCAGGAAGATCTGCTCCTCTTTGGTCATGACGTCATCTGCATCCACCTACCAAGTTGAACGTCAGACTGCAGGCCGGCCTTTCCAGCGCACTGGCAGGTCCCACAACCATCCCAACCTCCCCGACGGATTCCCCCACCCTTTCCAAAGGCTCTGAGTCTAGAATTTGGGAACTCTGCCTTATGTAGCTCCCATTTTACAGATGGGAAGCTGCGGCTCCAAAGGGTGGAGCCAGAAGGATAAAAGAGGGAGGGGGGATGTCCCCTGCCTGCCCGCTAGTAACCCTGTAGGCTGCAGCCACTGATATTCTCTGTCCAGTCTGTTCCCCAAGGGTACATGGGAAAGGGAAGGAATGTCCCAGGATGGATCCTCACAGGATCCCGTCTGCTGGGGACCTGGTGGGGAGAGCGGGTGCATAAGGAGCGGTGAACTCTGGGGAAATAAACCAGGCCTGGATTCTTTCAAGCCCTAGTGCCCTGGGGGACCTTGGGAGTCACCAGTTTCCATCCTGACCCTCTCCCCAGTCACTGCTTTCCCCAGTGAATGGGGAGTGCCTCAGCCGCTCCCAGCCTTGCAGTCCCAAGAGCTAGAGGTCGGAGGAATCACTGGCAAGTGGTCTGGTGGGGTGGGCACTCCTGCGCCAGCTGTGAGCCAGAGTCACCCCATCCCAGTGCTTATCTAGAAGCTCCTTCCCCCCGCGAGGCAGAGGAAGACCCTGTGTTCTGAAGGTGCCAACAACAGGCCTTTGCTCCTGCTGTTCCCTCTGGAATGTGCTTCCTTCTCTTCCTTCCAGCCTGCACACCCCGGGCCCAGTAGGATACATGGGCATCATTTTGAGGAAGAGAACATCATGGGCATCGCGGGGGGGGGAGGGTGGTGTGTGTCTCACCCTGAACCTATGTTCCCCTGACTTAGAGTTCAAAGCGGGTCAGAGTAAAGGCAGCATCCTGCCCTGGGGACAGCTCAGTGTGACCAAGCCTAGCCACTTCCATGAGTGGGACCCACAGAGGTTAATACGTCCCTCACATCCCCCTCCCCCTTATAAGTCGGGCCGACTCCCCTCGGACACCCAGGCCTGGGACATGTCTGTCCCCTCAGACCCCTCAGCCCCAGAGCAGGGCTGTGTCCCCTCAGATTCCACAGGGCACAGCCTGGCCCCCTCACACCCTCAACAGGCAGAGCTGCCGCCCCTCAGGCATCGCAGGGCCGGTCCCCTATGAGTGGAGCGGTGCGGGGCGGACGGAGAGCGGGGGGCAGGCAGGGAGGGAAGCAGGCGGGCCGGGGAAGGGGCGTGCTGGCCGGGCGGGGCGGGTCAGGGAGCCCGGCGGCGGGGTGAAGTTAATTGACCGCGTCTCTCAGTGGCTTCCAGGGCCAGGGAGTCTCCAACCGGCTCGGCGGGGCTCGGGATCCGCTGGTTTCACTTAGCGGAGGTGTGTGCGCGTGCGCGTGCGCGGCGGCGCGTCCGGCCGGCTGGTGCGCTCGGGCGGGCCCCGTCTCTGTGCGTTCTCACGTGGGGACCGTGCGGCGTGCACATCTGGGACGTGAGCCTCAGGTGTCTGGGAACACGCGTGTGTACGTGGCTTTCTGGGCAAAGGTCCGCGTGCGTGCGCGCGTCTGCCAGTGTCTCATGCGGCTGTTCCTTAGCAGGCGTGTCTGTCGGGTGTCCGTGCTTCTGCGTGTCCCTGGAGTCTGAGTTGGACCCTGAGATCTCGGCCGGATCAGCGCCCATGGACCGCCCCCCAGGAAGGACTGGAGCAGATGCCCATGTGCTGGCTCCTCTCTCGGGGCTCTGCGCCCTCCTCCCCCAGCTACAGCGGACTGGGGCAGAAGGAGTCTCGCAGGGCCCCCAAACTCCTCCATTCATCCATGGGGCTTGAGGGAGGACAGCTGGACCTGCCCTAATCCAAGGGGCTCCAAGATTAACCCGAAGTGCTCTCTGTGCCTCTGGCATTGCGGATCCAGGCTGCTGAGGAGTCTGGTCCCTGCGTAGCTGCCCTGCTCACTCGGACCCATCATCACGCCCCTTCACCACCATTTCCATCATTACAAGAGTACCTCCATCAATAACCACCACTGACCGTCATCACCTTGACCAACACCAAACACAACCATCACCATCCCCCATCACCACCACCACCTGCACCAGCACCATTACCACCATGAGCACCATCCCAACTGGCAGAACATCATCACCGTCACCACCGAAGGCAACATTAACCCCATCACTGCCATCACCATTATTGCCGCCAGCCCCACACCCACTGTCGGTACCGCCTCTGCTGTCCTCTTATCCCGACTCCCTCACCATGGCCCCGGCCCCACCCCTTCTTCTGCCCACCTCCATCTCTCTCAAGACAAGCAGATACGGCACCGTATTTTTTCCAGCTGATGGAAAGCTCCTGAGTGACTGAGGCTTCTACCAGTCCCCAAAGACTGGCACACCAGCCCTCCCCATAGACTAGCCCACCGATGTGACTGAAGGCAGGCAGTCACGGGTTGAAAATGGCCCATTTGGCAGACTGACAGATGGACAGGTGTGCTAGCTGGGTGATGACCAGGAACTAACACACGCTCTCTCGCAGGACTGAGGCATCTGCTCAACCTCCACCTACTGCTGTTGGCTTTACCCTCTCTGTGGCCAAGAGGGGGGCACCCCCTCTTCTCTGGAGTCTGGTTTCCATGGTGGGGCTGGGAGTGCCCAGGAGAAGGGAAGGGATATGCCTCCAGCACCCCAGGGCCCCCAAACTCCTCCATTCATCCACGGGGACGGCGGCCCCACCTCTGGCCTCCCCGAACTTGTAGGACCCATTTCTCTGTCCCCCCGTGATGGCACACTGCAGCAAGAGGAATCCAAGCCTGAGTCCGGGAAGCACTTATCCAAGGAAAGGAGGGCAGTTCTGCACCAAGTTCATTGCCACTTGCCTTCGAGGGCAGCTCCCCTGCCTGCAATGGTCCCTGTTCTCCCCTCCCTCCCGCTGCATCCTCTCCTCATCCAAGCACATTCTGCTGGCCAGCACTGGAGCTTGAATCGCACCTCCACCAGTGACCGGCTCTGTGTCTAGGAAAGTTGCTTAACCCTTGTGATCAGGATGACCGTAGGGCTGTTGGTGAGGATTCAGTGAGAGCCTGGGCATGGGTGGGGGCGGGGCAGAGCTGGTGGCTCTAATTGGTCCCGTTAGCAGCGGCACATCATGGCCCTCCTACTCGGCCTCTGGGCACCCCTGCTGCTGCACACTGAGGGTGGCCCCAGGCTGCGGACCCAGAGTGGCAGCGGGAGATTGGGTAGATGACTAAGTCCAGGGGGCCACAGTGAGGGGTGGAGGGGAGGAGGTGGGACTCCAGGAGGGTCGGAAGCAGGGAGTACAGGAGGGCCTACTGGGTGAAGTGTGCCTGATGAGCTTTTGGGGTGATCCAACCTGGGCTCACAGTAAGAGTCCGGGTCACTGCCAGGCCCCCTGGGCTTGGGGGGGGGTAAGAGGGCCCTCCATCAGCCTCTGCCCTGGTAGGTGGCCTTATGTCCTGGGGGGACAGGGGAATGTGCGGTAGCTGTGCTTCCCCTCCTGGCCTGGTGACTGCTGGTCCCTCTCCCCACCATGCCCCTCTTCCCCTTCCTTGGCAGAGTTCAGGTCTTTCCGGCCCAGCTCCTGGTGTGAAGGACTCAGGTTTGCATCAGTTTACATCCAGAGAGCCTGCGGATCTTGGGTTTCAAGGGCAAGGGCTGAGGAACCCAGGGCTGGATCATGGCCCGGGGTCACCCACCACTGATGGGGCCACCCAGCCCTGGCACCAGGCATCCCGAATCCCCACCTACATCCCTCCTATGGTCTTGGGTTAGGGCTCGGCTTCAGTGTCCCTCGCTGTAGCACACTCCCCATGTTGAACCCCCCCCCCAGAGCCTTCCCGTGTGCGCACACGTGCATGGGGTGGGGTGATGCCCTGACCTCAGCCCGAGCTGGGGGAGAATAGGGACAGGGGCAGCCTGGGAGCAACGAGCTGGTGTGTCGGGGGCTCCAGGCAGGGTGCAGGTGAAGGCTGGGAGCCAGTCTGTTGTTTATAAACATAGAAGCTGCTGTCCCAGGGAAAGAGTGGTGTGTGGTCAAGAGGCCCGATGTGTTTCTCATTTCCTGAGTTCAGAAGCTCAGATGAAGAGAAAAGCCATCTGCTCACTACCCCTCCCCTGGGGGGCAAGCAGCTCCTTCGACCTCAGCTCGCAGGGAAGCCTGATGGAGGATGGTGTCGGAGTTGGGGGTGGGAGCGGTGGTGACAGTGCGGGTGGAGGTGAGGACAGTGAGGAGGCAGCATCGAGGCTGGTGATGGTGACGGAGGTGAGCCGGTGATAGTGGTGGTGGAGAGAGCCAGTTCCATGCCACTGACCAAAGGAGGGCCACTCCTCTCCGTGTCTCTCCTAACTGCTAAATTCCACACATTTGCTGTCTGTGATCCCAGACGTGCCTACATTCTCCTCCAGGCAAAACTAAGAAGGAAATACAAGCGTTGCTTCTTCAGTGGCCGACACCTCTGCCTTTGGGAAAGAGGCTCTTCCATCGGATGCTATTAGCCTTGAGATGCCCTCTTGGGTCCTCTCATCCATCCCTCTGCCCGGGTCCCGCCTGGCCCCCTGCGGGAAGGCGGCTGTAGGCTTCCCGCTCACCTCTAGAGAAAGCAGAGCCCCCTGGGGTCCATCCAGCCCCTCTGCCTGTTGGCGCCAGCCACTGACCCTGGAGCTTTATCCCCATCTCCTTGACCTTCCACCACATCCCCATCTTACAAACGGGGACACTGAGGCTCAGAGTCACAGGTAAAAAGCAGCAGCAGCCCTGGAGGAAGGACGCAGCCCCGTGGGCCCCCTGGTCCAGAGTTCTTCTGAACCGCATCTGTATCTTCCGCGGCATCAAGCAGGCGCCCCCCAGCAGAGCCTCCGAGGCAGCCTGCACGAAGGGAATTCAGGGGTGGGGGCGGACAGAGAGGGATCACGTGGCGACGGTGCAGGTGACGGCATCCGGTGCCCAGCTCTAACAGGACAGAGGACAGTGGCGCCCCGGCGTTAG